TTCGATCCCGTCTGACTTTTGAAATGAATTATTAGGGTTATAGAAATATTTGTTTTTATTCTAATATGCTATATAAATTGTTAAACCTATTACTGAATTAATAAACGTATTAATTAATCATACGGTTTACAATCTTTGTATATCAAATCAGTTCATAATTTACTTTTTGAGTAAATAAAACTCTTCTTATTAATACGAAAGTTTTACAATATCATTATGTTACTTACACGAATACTAGATACACGAAAGAATGTACTCAACAAAGATCAATGAAATATAAATACTGTCTGTAGTTTACGCGAATAGTACACATTTAAATAAAACACTTTACTAGTTTAAAACGCGATGTATTTTTAGTTAAACCGATAAATCAGTTTCTTTACATGAAAAGTTTGCAATGACTCCGGCAGAATTAGAATCTAGAAACGTCTTTTCCTTAGAGACGTTATCCGTTACGCAACGTACTTATGTACTACTCATATCATTTTAGCAACCAAAGCCTAATAGTACTACTTAGTTACTTATTGTCCTTCTATATTTTTAGGTGAAGAACAAAAGACTGGTCACCCCAGCAATGTGTGACGTTTACGCCCAATTATGGCACTCGTAATTAAAATAATGCGTCCATAGATCGATTGTTAGCAAAATATTCATGTATTGTACTCACTGAATTGATAATCACTATTTTTTATGACAATAGCCAGTGGAAACTTTTTGGATATTATCCTTTTATTTCGAAAAAAAAAACAATTCAACAATAAGGTATGTACCTGCCTAAAACATTATAAAAAATCTGTCACGAAGAATACTAGTAGGTACTGTAACTTCTTATTATGATAAAGACTTTCACAATTTGATTGGTTTCGATTTAAGTTTGTAAGTTAGATAAGCTTTTCATTGTGAAGTTACAAAAAAAAAATAGTATTGTCAAGGCCAAACAGCTCCTAAACGCGAACTTCCATTAAATAATCATACATATCCTAATTAGTCTCAGCTAAATATTCAATTACTGAAATGACATGTCGCCAGTTTGATCGTAGCTGCTTCATGCTGTTAAGTTATCATATTAGGGAACAGATCTGTCATGTCTTATAGCAGGAAAATGAACACCACTACGTCACGTGATGATAATCAGGACTTACTTAAATTGTAAGCTCTAGAATCGTTGAAAAGTCTTCTAATAAAATTTTAATTCCAATAGTGACGGGCGATGTCACTAGAAGAACAATTTGTTTGTTTTGTGATAATTCCTCTGAAACTTTTAGGTTTATATTCTAATCTAATAATTCTTTTAAAAGTAATGTGTTATTTTATATAAATAACTGTTTTTCTTTACGTCCTCAACTCATTAAACGTAGTTGTGTAACATTTTCCAAATACCAACCTATTTTGCAGTTAAATCAAATCTTTTATATGAATGTATACAGGTTGAAATTTTTTAACGATTTGAGAGGGATGAGTCCTATACGTCATCGTCGAATTTCTTCAACCCGTAGATATAAGCGCCTCTTGCGCATATGTTTAAGCTTCCATACGTCTTAAAAATAATGTTCACTTCTAAACTGTCTAGCTATTAAATGGACAGTCTCCAGCTACTACATCTAAGAAGACTCGCTAAGAAATAAATACTCTAACTAACCTCACCTTTATCTCGGCTAATGATTCATCCAAATGTCGCAAGGATATCAGCATTGCAAGAATCCCAGGAATTAGATTAACATATTTATAGTTAGACTAAGCTCAAATTGGACATAAATATCATTACCAGTTTAATGAGCAAATGAATATGTTAGTAATTAGCTATAGATTGCGTTTACTGAAGACTAACTAAACGTATATAGACAAAATGTAAATAATTCTTGTATCACATGTATATTTTTAAAGTCTTTTAAACATTTGAATGAATGCCATGATTTTTTATAAATATCAGTTAGATACTGTCTGTAGTTTACGCGAGTTGTACATATGTAAATAAAATAGTAACGGTTTAAAACGCAATATATTTGTTAAAGTTATTAAAAAAGCTGCTGCAAAGCATCCAGAACGTCGGGCCGAGTTAAGAATAATTTTCAAATAAGTTTAACTAAAATATATCGCGTTTTAAAACGTTAAAGTATTTTATTTAAATATGTTACTTCGGTCTTAATCGTACAGAGCAGATTCGCTCCCTTTCTAGTTTATTTATAATGTATATATACACTAGGATTGCAACGAATATTCGGTTACTATTCGGTATTCTGCCTATCCGGTCTTCCTGCATAAAATATATAATATCTATGTAACAAGAATATTAAAAAAATACTTCGTTAATTAGTTAAAATAGGTTTGAGTACCTAGGAACTGATGATTTAGTTTATTTAAATGTAAAGCAAGATGGCCGATTTCAGAACGACGTCGTCGTTTGTCTGTTTATTAAAAGTTAAATGTTAATTTTCCAAAGACAATTGACATTTTGCTTCATTTAAGTATGTTTTTTATTTAAGGAAATATTCGAGGAAAATTATTCACACTGTTTTTCATCTAATTGTTCATCACGTGGTGTTTTTACTACAATATGTAAATTCCTACACATTTCTAAGACTATTTTACTTCTTAATGTTGTTGGTCTACTAGGTCAGCCTTCTGAGCTCTTCCGATTTAGATAAATCTGTGTACCAAGAGATTTGAGGCAATGTCCTGGGTTATTACTGAGAATTTATAGTTTTTATAACAAAGGATGAAAATTAGAAATAACAACGAAAAACATATATTATTGATATTTAGAATTTTGATTTTATTTGAGAGTTGCACGTTGAAAATCAATTTGCAGAAATATACAAGGAATAAGTAATTAACTTTTTACAGAATATAAATAGCTTAAAAGTCGTTGAATTTTGCCACGCTTTTTATGTTGAATGAAGATGACAACATGTATTTTGCAGTTATCAGGAATTGTCATTCACTCTATATCTCTATTCCATTGTTAATTAAAAAGAAGCTCTTGCGCAGGTACTACTCGGTCGGTTTTAACGACAATTTTGCATTTGTTCTAGGAACCTATCAAAGTAGAGAACACGAGCCACATTCAATTAAAACTCATTATGAAGTCTGACGACCCCCGGTACATGTGTATCATAATTGAACACATCTTTTGTTTATTATTTTCTCTATTGTCTTACTTACACTTGTTTATTTGCCATTGTCTGAAAACGAATAATTAATATTTTAATAAGGGGCAGTCTATTATTTGTTTAGTGTTAATCTAGCTCAATTATCTTTATCATTGTCAGTTTTGAGGAACTGCGAATATGTATAATTATCATATTTATTAGATCTTTAAGGGATTACACAATGCACTGGCGTGAATGGTCATTGACAAAAAAAATCATTTTCAGCAATAACTTTATTAAGAGATAAAAAGAAAGGAACATTCATTTAATACAAACCAAAACTCCATTTTAACTTAACAATATCAACACACAGCGCTTCTTAGAAATTAATTAAGTATGAAACTAAACACGTGACTTACATTTTCGGTATTTTCCTAAGATATTCGTGATAACAATATCTTTTAAATTATAAATGCAAGTGCTATACATAATACATTCGCTACTGTGTAACGCATTGAACACAGATATAAATGTTGCTAGACCATAATATAATAGCTACACAAATTTGAGTCAAATGTCCGAAATATAAATTACAGCAATAATATAACATTTGTTGTTACTAGAAGACACGAAATTAATAGTAAGGATAATAAATCTGGCTATTCCACTCTATTGTTTTAAGGACTTAATTGATTTTAATGAAAGATGACTCAAATATTTTGTGAGCGAGCCCTGAAAAATTCAAAAATACGTTTTTCAATGTGACCAAATATATCTTGATTATCGTTTACACGTCGCTCTTTTTCGTCACAAAACAATTTTTACAATTAAAATAAAGTACAATGCAACTAAACACAATGTGATGAAACATCAATAATTAAAGATTAATTCTTTTATGATTTCTATCATTCACTTTTATACTAGGAAGTGATTTAGTACAAAAATACACTTTTATTAATATATAACACTTACCTATGCTTAAACTAAACAATACAATGTTAGTTAATAGATCGATTAACAACGATAAGTGGTCACAATTGGCAAGTTTCCGTAAACATATTACTATAAGTTTATTAGATAGCAAAATAGTACTCAATTTAGTGTAAATTCCGTACACTTTGATTTTGATAACAGAAGGTGATATATGACAGTAAAATTTGGATATTATAATTTATTTTGACCACACAATAATATCTAAAACAAGCTCATTTGTGTGTTACAATCACAATATATATGTTTTATTTTGTCTTATATAGGATGATAAATTTAACAATCGACAGTCGAGATGGGGTATGATGTACATAATTGTTTATTTATTTTATTTAACTTTTTTCGTTTGTGGATCGATTTACAAGCATTTTGATATGATATGTAATATAATATGTCAAAAGGGAAAATGTTATTGGAGTGTAGTGAGATAAAAAGCAAATAATATGAATTTAGATTTTCGCTTCGTCGTCGGATAATATATAACATTTTAATTTTATCGTTGTAGTATGTGTATGTGTGTTAAATACCGTTTCCCCCTCGTGGGGCATGGGGCGAACACCTTTCTATGTCCGTTTCACTGATCCGTAGTAGTTGATCAGACTTCTGTGCCCTACCCGATGGGAACAAATTTTACTTTTTGTTTCCCTGGGAATCGGACCTCTCGCGCATTAACGCAATGCTAGGCAATACGTTTAACCATTTGTCTACAAAGGCGGTTGTGGTAGTACACAAAAAGCGATATTTTATAGGTCTAAACCGTTAAATTTATCATCCTATATTGGCCAAGATATAAGTATCGTGCTGATCACTTTTAACATGACACAAGAACATCATACACTAATTATTGCTTCATATTGGTTACACTTTGGTACAACATTATGTACGTAATTGGTTAAATAATGAATTAAAATTGAACTCTATTCACCTCGTGACTTCTGCAGGAATACCTGGAAGGTAACGCAACATATATGTATTACATATAGGTTATAAGAAAATGAATTTAAAAATATTTTAAGATTTAATAGTATTAGAATTTTTTTCATATGTTATTGTACTATATAAATCAATAAGCGATTTTAGATTGTTTTTTTTTAAATCTAAAATCGACTTTTATGAATTCTTTCTTTACTCCTTACAAAATATAGTGATCAAACACAGGATTTTTAACTCACAATCATTTCCTAGTACCGGTACTGAGGTCTTGTAATTCACTGCTATCGTCGCTGGATGCGCTCGGGCAGCCGTTAGCAGCAGGCCCAGCTGCGGCCATAGCCATTGACAGCGGAATTGTGATGAACTGCGGTTGGCTAGATGACGATGCTGCTGATTTTTGAACATAAAATTTAGAAGAGGGTAATTCTTTTAAATTTTATCTTAATTTACATTAAAATTCTTTAATATTATTGTAATATTAATGTCGGCGTGAGCTATTGGATTGCTGGGTATAATATAATTCTCATTAATGAAGAGAGATTTGGTGTAATGCTGCTAATTACGACCACATCGTGGGTGCGATCCCCACCGGGTTGAATTCTTTTCTTACCAATTTATGATTTATCTGAAACATGTTGGACTTTGTCTGGAAACCTGTATATGAAATGGGTAATAGGAATATCGAAATTCCGTCCAGTTCCAAACCACCACAGATGAAAAAGCCGTCACGTTTGATCACGTTCAGTTTAATCTACTGTCTATGGATTTTAGAATATCCAAAGCCAAATAATGTCGACATCGCATCTTGTTTAGATAGTTCTATAACTGGGGTATGTCATCTCCAAGCTCGTCTGTCCTCCTCTATCATAAAAACATATCAGAAAATGCTGCCGAGAACTGTTTTTTTTACATAAAGATTGTTATTAGGATACTCACCACCGTCCTGCCCTTGATTCGCTAAACCTAAGATAAAGCTATGCGGATACCCCATCGCCAGATTTCCCAGCCCCAAGTTACTTCCTAAGCCATCTAAACCCACGCCTGCCAGTACCCCCGAGGGGTACAACATTGCACCTCCCGGCAGGTCTATCTTTGGTAGGAGCCGTGGTAGAGATGGTTGACTTGTCTTGTTCTCTTCCTGGTTTGCACTTGAGGTAGAGGGTTGGTTTTCGGGTGGTGATTCTCTGTGAAAAAATATTTATTTAAATTACTAACAAAATAAATACACCCACTGAAAAGTAGCTATTTAAGATAGGTAGAACATTTTCAGAGGATTACGTAGTACGAAAGTATTACGAAGGACGTTGTGTGTGTATTTTTTATGTTGGAAAGTATATTTTGTAGAAAATTCTATTCAACTGGCAAGGCATGAACTTGGTACAGACGGGGTACTGAGTAGTTACTTCTCTTAAAGAAAAAGACCGTATCAAACGTGTTTGTTGCATTCGACTGTGTTTATGTAGAGTTCATTATTGCAAATTGTAAAACTCTTTTCCAACCTATTGTTTAAATCCTTTTCGTTATTGCCGTTCCAATCCTGCTGATTCTGCATGGGTTTGTCGATGAATTCTAGTTCGCTGCCACTTTCGTCACCGCTGTCGCCAGATGTCGCTGGTTCTTCCTGCAAGAATAAAATATTTATTATTTTTCCTAAAATGTTTATCACAACTATTAACTTTGACTTTTCTACTAACTACGCTGTTCTACATGCTTGCAATTAAATATGATAATACTTTTGATATTATACTTTATTAAAGTTCACAGTTTTGTAAATGTATTTATGTTATACTAGCTGTGCCCACGACTTCGTTCGCGTGGAATAGTGACTTGGGGTAGAATTTTTAATTATTTAGGCTGTTTTTTAATTTATCTAATTGCGCATTTATCGCAGCCAATAATATGTTGTAAGTGCTACTTTGTCGCAACACTCTCACCTCACATCACTCCTATTTTAACTCCCCCCTCATCCCCCCCCCCACTCCCACTCCTATACCCAAAAAGCCAAAGAAGAAAGTTTCATTGTTCTAGATTCAAAAACCACGAATTTCCATACAAACTTTAACCCCCTCTTTTAACCCCTTGCAACCGCCTTTTCGCAATAGCCTATTTTCTTTCTCAGGGTCTAAACCATCTGTGTACCAAATTTCATTCAATCCGTATGTTTTGGGTGAAAGAGTAACGGACAGACAGACAGAGTTACTTTCGCATTTATAATATTAGTAATAGTAATTTTAGCTGAAATCAAATATATGTCGCTATTAGAAACCGAGTATACTTAGATAACATTCCAAAAAGACAGACCCGAAACTATTTGCGGGAAATACTAACTCGACCGCAATAGGAATCTGGGTCGAGTTAGCATAAAACGAATTATGATTTTTAGGGCTCTAGATCTAATAAAGGCCCTCTATACTATATATGGGGCTGCTAGAGGCATAGTGGCCTAATAACGAAAAACATGATTGTCAATAAGGAGAAAAATAAATTTGTACTATTATTTGTGTAAAAATTACGTTAATTATTTTCCGTCAATGTGCTCTTGTAGGTTAAAGTTTTTAGACTATGAAAATATAAATAACTCAAATGATAAGATTGCAGTTAGGCTACTCTATATTGTCAAAATTTCTTATGTAGCTCTAAGTACCTGGATTTATTTTTTATAAGGTAAGATTATGTTGAAAGAATAGAATGGGATGCTACAAATACTTAATAATAGCATAAATATATACACTTTTAACATTTTGATGGGGCCCCATGCAAACACATCAAACCATCCAGTAAGGCAGAATCCACCAGAACTATGTATGTCTGATTGTGAACTATTCTTATCTTTTCCAACTGATCGAATCCAATCCGAGATACATTTTGGATAGTACATTTCTTGAAAAAGGTTTGTTTATGACTTTAGTTATATTTTACAAATTTCTTGTTTCTTTTCAAAAACGTAAGAGTGTTTTTATTATTGGGGTGAAATACAAAAGCTATATAAAATAGCTTTGAATATCATCTTAGATGACTCTAAATAATGCAGGATTTCTGTGCCTATCGGTTGGAAATTAACGGGGGAAATAACTTGGTATATAATTTATACACTAACCTGAAAAACTTCATTTTTTTATTACAATATTCTTTTCTGTATAGTCGTTGAAAAGACAATACCATGATAATGTATGTATGCAAATGAAAATGACGGGGAGAAAAAGGGATTCCTCATATTAATATCAGCCTTTTGACGTTTTATAATTTTATGCCAGTATGTTAACGAAGGCATTCCCTCTGGTATGTAAATCAGATGGTAATTAGGAAGATCAACGCTCTATGAAGCATTAACAAAGTAGTTTTTCGAGGCAATTTTAAACATAAGTAAGCAATAACACGCATTTATGCAACGAAGATATGCAACAGTTATTTGAAGACTGATTATCAGTCACGCTGTGACTAATAGGAGCCAAGAAACAGCGGGAAATGTGGATCTTTGTAAGTCTCCGATTCGTATGCTGCGAAAACGTTTCACGATACCATAAAATATATATATGAAAGGATATATATACTCTTTAAATGATATTAAAAAAAATGACCGTGACACTATATGTCTATCTTTTAAGATTAACTTGCAAGAACGACGGGACGCGGCCGCCATGCTTAACTTTATAAAGATGAAGAAAAGGTTTGCTAAAATAATTATTCTACGCGGACGACGCCGCTGACATAGCTAGTGATTCAATAAGTATTTTTTAATGCGTTGGGACGACATGCATTTAACATACTCCGACACCAAACCCCGGGAAGTTTACAGTGGTTTTTGCTGGAAAAATGTAGTAAATAGTATATTTATAACAGTTTAAACGCGTTTTATTTTTGAACATAACAAAACGCTCGGGGTGCACTAGTTACAGATGCTCATTTAGACTTTTTTACATTATAATGTTGGAAAAGCAACTGGCAAAATTTTTTAATGTAAATTCTTTCTCTTAATACAACACAAAATACAAGGAAAATGATAATCGCCAACCTAAGTATTGGGGTACAGTTAAATATTTGCGATGTGACCTTTTTCATTCGACCTTCCTGAATAATGGAATCTCCCTTATCCACCAGGCGTGAGTCGTTGACTTGCGTAGGTGTAGGCTTTGTGCCGCCGCACTAAATAATAATAATTGTGCCTAACTAACTACCGTCTAACGCACTCGCCTCTCCGCTGTCCATCTGATAACTGAGTACTGTCAGCAATGAAATCTGGAGCTAATTATGTATGTAATAAAATTTAAACTAAAGAAATTTTGAAAACTGAAAATCCTATGTACTAATAGAATTCATTTAGTTAAGCTTTCAATAAAAATGTACACTACACTAATAGAAGAAAACGTTACTGATGTTTAAATAAAACACTTTAACGGTTTAAAATGATATATATTAGTTATTCTTATTTGGAAATTATTTTAACTACGGACCGACGTTTCCAGCAGACGTTGGGACAGCCGTGACAACTGATTTTTCTTTTCATGTGTACTACTCGCGTAAACTACAGATAGTATTTTGTTAAATTTAAAAGTCTTATGTAATTTGCTTGTAATTATATGCTTTTATTTGTTAAGTTTAATATAAAATATTTCTGAAATAAAGCAGTTAACAACTATAATACTCTTTGTAATCGGTATCGCTATCAAAAAGTTATATGCCGACCGTACACAGTCGGTGGCGAACCGTTTTTGGCCTACAGTTGTTTTGTGCGCTTTCTAGCAGCGACGTCACAATGCCCTGCCTCATTATTGTCTCGGCTAATTTATTTCACTAACTTCTCATCGCAAATGAATTAGATATGGTGTAATTTCACTACTATAAAGCACCGTTTTATTATTGCGTAATTATTTTTGGATTAACTTTGCTGAACATTTAAAACGAAGGTATAAATGTGTACTGGTTCGTTTTTAGCTAAGTTGACTAATAATATGACTTGTTTTTTAATATTTCAACATAACCACTTCGGGTCAGCCTTCAGTCAGTCTTGTACCTAATGCTTGCTTGCTAATGCTATATATAAATATTTTTATAAGAGACAAGCGTCGTCATCACTTGATGGAAGGAAAAGTACTTATCAATAAAATGCGGTGTCTACCTATTTTGGCTTTGTACTCAGTACCCACAGACTAAAACAGAAACGCGATAATCTCTCATCATCTGTGAACGGTGGTTCGTGATAAGATTCTTACCTATAGGTATTGGCTCTCTATATTCTTACCACCCATTTTATATTATTATAGGCACCTTCATACCAAATATCCATAGAGATCCAATTATGTGACGAGACATGCAACGACCGGACAAAGATAAACATAATTTATTGTGCTGTATCCGCATCTACCGAACTTGTACAGCGTACAGTACAGGCAAGTACAGATCTAATGAAATGAAAACATGAAAATGCATCGTTAATAATTATAAAATTGATGCCTTTTAAACGCCTCAGTTAAAAACGATAAACAATTATGAGGTTCCGTCAAGAGGAAAATACGAAATTAGCACACGCTACCAACAATGGCGTCGATATTATCTGATCAGATGGTATTCGATAACGCGGACACATCCGAGCGATGCTAATAGTATTGTAATATAATAAGCAACTGATACTCGGTTACGCATTCCGGAATTACCTCAGACTAGAAGCGTCATATCCAGTCGAAGTCAACTAGCCAAGTGTGAGTCGAGACATTACACGTAAGGTTCCGCTCTACTAAAGATTACACTAGGACACAAATTTCATATTATAACTTTTTTACCTTCGTCCTTATTAATATTATGCAAAAGAGTGCAAAAAACCTGACAGTCGACAGACCGACAGTTAAGCAAAAAGTTTCAACAATAAGGATTTTTTGTTACTTTTTGTGTACGGAACCATATAACCAACTATCTTATTTATTTTGTTAGCAGTGTTAGATAGATAACGAGGAGATTTTCGGAGTTTCTGATGAAACACGTCGGAAACTCGGTGAAATGTATTTGCTTTTATTTTTGCAAGCTTCTAGAGAAAATTAATTAAGGAGGATGTGAAATGTTACTACTAAGTTAAATAAATTATTAAAGAGACGTTATATGACGTAATACATAAAAGATATAATATTTTATCTATTTAGTACTGGTAGTTTAAAGAGCGTTTAAAAAATTATATGCCATCTTATTTAAAATAATCGATAAGACTATGTAGGATAAACCACGAATATCGGAAATAAACCTACATCTACATTATATTAAAAATTCCTATCTTCCTTTGGTATTCAACGTGGCTTTACAGACATACCTTTTGGATACAAGTACAATCTTTAGGATGCATCACTTTTACGTTTGACTATACTACTACTAGCTGGGTTTAGTCCACAGGTTTGCCCAAGATTGTATGGCAAATAATTTTCAATACCTCTATATTGCTAAAATATCAACTTAATATCCATAAAAATGCCTTTATTTAGAAAAAATGTCCATTAGTTCTTTAACCGTGATAGAATGGTGTATAATCAAGTTCTTTCCTCAAAAGGCCTTCAAGTTACGAAGATACATCTTGAAGCATTCGATATATAATTAATATATGCAATGTTTTATGCCTTCTTCGCTCATATACTGTTCTAGAGCTCATTAGCGACAAGGCTTAACTATTAAAATACTGTATTTCTTGTCTGAAATAAAAATGAATCGCAAAAAATATAAAAACCTTTAAATTCTATAACCGGAATAAAATATTTGAACAAAGAATTAAAAAATATGGAATGACCATCGATACGGTAATTACAGTAGTATATACGGTAATTTAATTAATTATAAGTGTAAACACCTTGTTCTTTGTTTTAATAGCATGTTTATTATGTACGGCTGATGTTCGGAAACGAACGAACTTCTTATCAGTACTTACATATATGTTTTAAATAACAGTACCAATTTTGTCACTATTGTTTAACTTTAAAAGATTTTTTTCAGTGTTAGTGTTTATAAAAATGTAAACTGTTAACTTTTCAAGTCACAAGCCGGTTGAAATAAGTTAAAGCTTATGAAGGTGTCCCTTTTGTTATGCCTGCCTTTCTTTGACTATTTTACTATTCAATTTTATACAACCAAGTTGTTCTGTACCTGCTGGAACTATTTATTATATTTTTCAGGACTTCGAGCGCTAACCCCTATGAGCCATTGAGGGAAACTATTCTTAATACTAAGTATAAACGTAATATATGTGGCCACTAGAGGCAGAGTGGCCTAATAACAAAAATCATGATTTTCAATAAGAAGGAAAATAAAAATGCGCAATTAACGCGAAAATGAATTTGTACTAGGGTTTGTGTAAAAATTATGTTAACAATTTTCGGTACTGTGCATTTATAATTTTTAGACTATAAAAATAAGCTAAGTCATAACATTGCAGTTAGGCTACTGTCTCTGGCGGTCTCATATATACTTATCTATAACAACAATTTAACACAAAGCTTTTCTACATACAAAACATACAACTCAAATCTTCCAAACAGAATATCCGATTAAGAATATTTATAATTGGGCACAATCCATTCAGGGTTCGCCTGCTCCGATCCAATTACATCCACTTGTTAATACGCACTGATTTTGTATACTACCGTGCAGGTGCTAAATTCCCGGGACAAAGTGTAAGAGGCTTTGGACACAAATGGTACCTCCATTCATTCCGATAGAACTTCTGTGGTCTAAGAAGCGACATGTTTATCACGTAACTATTATGAAAGGAAATATAATCCAGGTCTAAGATCGCTTGTGTTATTATTATTTTTAGCAATTAATATACGTGCTACAAAGTTGTTTTTTGTTTCTTATTGTATATTTTTAAACGGTGGGGATATATGTTTACAATAGAGGTAAAAACTATTTAAATGATTAATGGGTCAAATAAAAAATTTATAAGGGTCTGTCTTTTTCCATTACAAAAGATTTTTTTTAAATTTCAATTTGATATTGAGAAAGTATATTCATAAGTGTTTATATAATTTTATTTAAATGAACTGTATACGTACGCGTAGTACCTACTGCGCGATGCTGAGCGAAAATTTTCCATGCAATATTTCGTGACTTCATAAAAATTCAGATAAAAATAATATTAAAATTCAAGCGACACTCATTATTCTGAAAAAACTTTGCAAACAATACAAATTCCGTATTTCGCACCCGAAACTCGCCTTTCCAGTGGCTACTTAAAATGCTATAGGTAGGTATATTGTAAATCATTATTCCGGGCCATACAAATGTCCGGGGCGTAGGAACACACAAACATGTGTACCAGCTCCATTATATCGGAATGTCTCCTTGATTTTGAATGGATGCTTATTATGCACCCATTTACACCCCGAGAACTTTACGCGGAGCGCTATCTACTGGAAGCGCCATCTTTCGCCTGTCGCAAGTATTGTTCGGCATTTTATTTAATATAAATGATGATAAAATAAACACACATTGTGTTACTTAAATTAATTATATTATATTCCTAATTTTTATTTTACCCTCATACTTTCATAATAAATAGTTATTTGAAGGCAAAATACAGCGCCTCTATTCATAACCATAATGTAATAAGCACGTAATCCTTTATGAACCATAAAAAAAAAAATTAAAACAATATAATTGAATAGACTGAATTTGTAAAGGTTTATTTATTTATAAAAAAGACAATTATGTGTTTACTTTTTAATTGCTCTATTTGCTATCAATTTGGGAAGTGCGATATCTACGTTTGCAATAGATATCACTTCCAGGCTATTCTAAATACAAGGATACGAAAACAGTAGCCCAAAGGTACGATACGCATCTCGGCGCGGGCGCGGTAACAAGCGGCTTGTTCCTGTCAATCGCGCTAATGTTCACAACCGCCGCTTCCATACAATGTATAGCCGTGTTTTCATACATCGCGTGGGCGCTGACAGAATAGATTAAATCGATTTGTTTGTTAAATGAAAAGTTGGATAACGATGCTATGAAGTGGCTGTGTTTGTTATATTTTACAGTTGGGTGGATTTGAAGCAATTTTTGTATACGCGTGATGATCGCGTTGTGTTGTCTATCTATAGGAGATTAGCAAAAGCTTTCATTTTTAATTTCATTTAAGATTAATTTAAGCATTTATTCACACTTTATGCGATTCTAAACGTGTAATACTGAGACGTACTGCGTTAAATATGACTTAGAAAAACATGTATTTACTTTTAATTTACTTATACCTACTTCTTTATTTTCTTTTAAAAAATTATTTGCCTTTTTTTTCAAGAAAAAAATAATTTATATGTTACATAATTTATAAATCAACAACTTATTTGTTACTTATTTCTGGAGACAAAAGAAAATTCGTTGTTTATTTTAATTAGATATTATTAATGATGTCTTTCCTTTCTTATAAATTAGGTAGGTGTTAGAGGTATATCGTATAGTAAAATAGTATTATTTCTAGACTAGCCGACATCACTCCTGCTATCGAAGGCTTCGACGCGTGTCCATTACCCCCTCGTTTAAACCCGCGATAACGTCTGCCGGGACACTTGAATTTTAGTTCACCGAGTGCCAATTACTGATTTTCACCTACACAAGTTTCTTGTTTCACAGATAATATTTAATTCAACTATTTAATAGTTAAAAGGGAATATTTTAATTATTCTCACAATCATATATTATTTTGTTAATATAACCTGCTTAATTACAACGTTATTTTTTTTTTATTTATTTATTCAAAATTTTTACATTTTAATTTTAACATAAAAAAGCGTCAACAAAAACTCATTCGAGTTTTTCCGTGACGCCCTCGTCTCAGCACACATTACATTTATACATGTATATATAGTTATATTACAAACAGTTTCACGCAAAAGCAGTAAACAATCAAGTCGCAACATTAATTAGAAGATATTTAGAGGGAGTAGAATTTTTTAATTTGGTTTTAAAATTTTTACCCTATTTGGTAATAAATTAACTAATTTGGGTATGACATAGTCGAGTGTTCTTTTTCCATATAGGTTGTTGTAATATGGCACTTGCAAGTAGAGTAATTTAGTATAATACATTAACGTGGATATGAGTGATTTTAGCGATATAAGTATAACAAAGTCAAATAAAAACTAGAATATTTACGCAACGTACCGTGTAATATTTACGTAAATAAGTGGTATTTAAGCTAAATTCATGTACTGTAAGAAAGGGAGGCTATGCTAATAGAAGTATAAGAATAAGAAATATACAAGTTTTGTTACCAAATTTTAAAACTTAAGTCGATGTCAACATCAAATCTTATATCACGTCGTTTAGAAAGGGGCTCTTATAAGAATTTAATGTTTTAACTTCACACTTATGCCAAAAACTCTTCCACACATTTAAAGTTCACATGAAGAGTTTTAAAATATATTTAGTAATTCTTTTACTTGTTTTAATAATATAAAATCAAAAACAAGCCATTATTATTGAAATAAAGAAATCATATAAGACAATTACGAGGACCGTTCTTACAAGAAGATTTCCCAGTGGGCTTTTCAAAACGCCCGCCTATCTCTTTATCGGCCCTTCTAAGTTACAGTCTGTCTACTTAAGTAAATCGACACCGAGTAATTAAACATTGCGATACCACGGCACACGGCGCGTATTTACACAATTGTTTGTTTTTATTTAACAGGGACAAAATGCTCTCGCGCGTATATTTTGCGAGACGACAACAGAAGCTCACGTTTTTACTGCACAGGCATTTAACTTGACAATGGGAATTTTAATTTATTTTTCTGCAGGATCCGGCGGTTTATTTTTCATTTTCGCCCGATTATTTATATATTATTGTAATACATAGTTTTGTTCTAAGAGTATTAATGAGTGTAACACACTAGTATTGACATTTATATATTATCCATACCTACAATGAAATGAAAAAACCGACCGCTTTTGTAACTAAAGGGTTTACCTAGATAAAAAGAAGTTCCTATTTTTTAAAAGAGTCGACTTCCGTTCTTAGTACCTATTAAGTTAAAATAAAAAATATTTATAATAAAAAATATTAAAGCTAGATCGGTGTAAGAAAACTGTTATTTAAATAATAAATAATTATTTTTCTTTATTTCTAATAAACATTACGGTAAAGTTTGGTTTACAAAATGATAAATACGTAAAATTATACATAATATAACATTCACAAGTGTTGAGTATATATATCTTTTAAATAGAATAAGGTTTAAAAGACTTGGTTTTATATTTTTTATTTTCCTTGCCTGCTGTGTGTAAGGAAGTCGCAAGCGCACAATAGCCGGTGAGATGAAAGGCGCATTTAATATGCGTGACGTAATCGCCTCTAATGGTGGCCTGCGCCTGCGCCTATGACCATTGTTATGGGATTTATTGAAAATGGCAGAACACACATGGCATTCTCAATTCTCTAAGGACATGTTACGTACGGTAATGAGAAATGAAAGAGTGCTTGATACTGAATGACCTTTAAATCAAACGGGTGCATTGTGCCATTTTGTTTTCATAGTCAAGACATATAATGTCTAATTGTGGGTGTGTAATGAATGGTAGCATAGCATTTTGTTGGTGTTTACTATTAAAAGACACATATTATGTAGTTTAAATAGTATCTTTATTATCTTCTATAATCTACGTTAAACTTTTAAATGTAATGATACATTTCGAGTCCCTTTATCCTTCCTATCCTAGTCCATTGAAAGGAATTGTTCGTTTTACCCATTATTAATGAGAAGATGGAGAGACGATGTCTCTTCTAGTTCAAGCTAAGACACATCTATCTCATGTGGAGAGCGGATATAAGATCTTAGAGCCACCACGCGGGTTCGATGAGGTTCGATGCCTTTAACGAAGATCGCACCTACATTAGTGTTGATACTCCGAACCGAAAATTTAACGTACTCTCCGAAGCACGAGGGTGCTGACACCTACTTCTAAACTCCGGATTGATTTTAGAATTTTAGCACAAATATATACTGAAAAAAAGATTTCGCTTTTATACGACAGACTAGTACTAATATCAATGACTATAGTATGTTTGGCGTCTTTCTTAAACTGTTTCAAGAATAAAGAAATGCAATAGTCCAGTAATGATAGAGCAAGAGTGATAATTTTGAAGTTCACACCGAGCTCCTCGTAGATTTACAGTGAACGTGACGAATTTGAGGCGATCATCCGCAAACATCGCGCCGCGCAAATCATCAGTGGCTGACGGAGCATCGTGGTGCCCTCGGGCTGCCAATACTCTGCTCCGACCTTATGGAGCTATTAACGAAATATACGGATACACTTTGTTAGGCTTTCTCTCGCCGTGAATTATTTAGGATAGCAATAAGGAACAGGTGAAAAGACATAAAGAAAATACCTTAACACGAAATATTTTAGTTGATTGATTTAAAGGTTAAATTGTTAGAAGTATAATATTTTATCTATATTTTTCTATAATTAAGAACTGACAACATTTAATATGATTTAGCGGTAATGAATAAATACAGGTAATAAGACACTACAAGGAAGACTACGAAATCCTTTCGTTAATAAGACCAGTTTTGAAAACGTGTACGGTTTGAAAATAAAGAAAATTTTTGGCGCGTCAAGAATTAATTCAATTATTAAATGTATTAGGTCGTTCAGGAAATACATGCGTTAGAAATAAGCAAGGCAATGAATATAGCAGCTGAAGACATAGCCCGCGGTCCTCGGCCTATCACGAACAGTTTTATCCAACTTCGCGGTCTAGGATATTCAGATCATTTGTCATTACTTTGAGATGATAAGATCCTGTGTTTTCCCATAGCATTTTGATTTTCTATTCGTACTCTAGAACGATGATTTCTATGTTATTTAAACTGAAATATCATAATGATAATATAAAAGTTCAAGAGATTGTTTGTGTGAACGCGTTAATCGCAGAACCTATTGGTTTGAGTTGAAAAATTAGTTTTGTGTCGGTTAGAGAATTTATCAAGGTAGGCTATAGGCTATAAAACATCAAGCTGTGACTAATAAGAGCGAATAAAGAGCGGGAAGTGTGGAAAAATTATTTCGTCTTTGTGGGTTCCCGATGCGCTGCGAAAACGGTTTACGATACCTAAAAATTATGTAATTAAGATTGAAACCTCCTTGAATTATCTTGAAACATGTCCGCGGCACTATACGTCTATCTTTAACCATTAACTTGCAAGAACTACAATACGCGACTGACGCGAGTAACGTAAATTTACACGGATGAAGGGAACGTTAAAAAAAAACAAATTTGAACGCCCAAAACAATTCTACGCTGACACAGCTAGTTTTATTCTAATTATGTTTATGTGTCGTCTTATATATAATTCATTAGATATATATTACTCTATCCCATATGTACATTGTCCCGTGCAGTAAGATAAATATAATTTAGGCCCGATGCAATCAATCTAAGTGGTTATAAGACACTCCTACGCGCAATAATGTGTTGGCAGACTGTCCACTCACGGATTGATTTATCTAATATAACCACACATTCATCACTAGCTAATCTATAACAGCTACATAGGCAGGGAGAATCGATTAAGTCTATATAAAGAAAATATAGTTATTACGATAAATAAAATTATTTTAATATTATATATTAATAGGACGTCAATAAAGCTGTCGTTGTGGGTTGCGACTAATTTATGGAATGAGGTAGACTTATTAATGATGATTAGTTTTATTTGCTATTTTAGTGTTAAGCATTGCTCATCTTAAATCTGTTTTTTATATTGAAGCCCAAAACATGTAGAGTATCATTATATAACGTGGCTTTTGTAAAGTCTTGTAGAGAGACGTCTGATGAATATAACAACAGCATTTATTTATTCAGAATATTCACGTCGTTTGTTTTCATAGTTAGAAGATTATAAAATATATCTGAGTTTCTGTCTTTTGACATAGGC